TGTGCATTAGACTGTCAGAAACTGCTTCACTCTTTTAAAGTTAAGTTGAATAGCAAGGTTAAGTTCTCAAGATCTCTGCCTGCACATGTTGATGGTCTTGCACCAGTCCTCTCTAACGTTCTTTCAAACTTGCTTTTGCTGTCATTGATTTTAACGTTTTTTTGGGCTCTCCGAATTTTTTATTAGCTGATGTGCCTCGCTAAGCTTTTCGTTACGTTGTCTAGAAGCTTGTTATTTGAAAATAAATCATTAAGATGCAAAGTATTTTGAAATACTTTTTGGTATATACGAGTGGTATTCAGTTTAAACAGTCGATATTACAGGTCACGAATGCCTTCTTCGAACCTGAAGGGTTTTTGATGAAGAGTATTTGCCATCTTTTGTCCGGCACAGACGCAGTCAGGGAGCATTTGACAGTTCTTTCTAATAGTAATGTAGGATTAATTTTATAACCATTTATTCTTTGGGGTTTTTGGAAATAAGGTTTTTCAGGAAGTATTTGCTGCTTCATTACTTCCTTATCTCGTGGAGTTGGCTTACAAGGCTGATTCTTCTGAGCTGGGAGCTTTTTGCAATGCTGTCAATCATTTATTGGAAACCCAAGATTCTTCACTTTTCCGTCAAGGTAAGAAAGTATTTTAAACTCTCTTGGCACATCTGCATGGTGCTTCTTTTTGATTTACGACAAGTGCAGGACTTTCTTTACAGAGTGTTCGCTGGTTACAACTATAGTTGCATGTGTAAGACGGCTTCAGGTTAATTTTGCCTCATTAGATGTCAAAAAGAAATTTCCTCTGGATTTGGTGGGGTTATCTATGTCATGTCTGAAAGCGGGTCTCTCTGACGATGCCTTTTTTTTCATCCGATGCCATGTCGACTTGTGAGTACCTTCGTTTTGAAAAAGTAATTTGAATTTTCATTTTGATAATTATGAAGCGTTTAGGGAGTGTGACAGTGTGCGTCCTGTTGCGCATTTGTTTAGCAGGGGCCTTGGACTTTTCCAGCTAATGACAAACGTACCGAAGGAACTTGAAGGCCATTTCCAGAAAACATTGGTTGCATTAAGAGATGCCGATACTTTAAAAGCGCTTTCGCTGGCTTCAGTGGAATCTTTAGATGTGCGGTTGCTACTATTTTTAGATGTTTTTACTCCCATCTCCATTCAAAATCAATCTTCTCTTTTTCGCTTTTGAATTTATTGGAGTTTTTATTTCTGTCTTACTTTTAGTCAAGAGTGATTCTGGCTGAGAAATCGTGCAACTGGCAACACTTGGCATTTCTTACTAGCTCAAAAAACGATTCTCGTTTACATTCACAGGCTCTTTTTTACTGCGGTTCACAGTTACCATCTTTGGAGACTGATGTACAGTATCGTGCAGCTGCTGAACTTGCTCAGTGGCACTCTCTGAGTTTCCCGAAAAGGTTTGTTACACGTTCTACAGAAGTTACTTCCTGCTTAAAATATTAATGCTTAAAAAGGTACAATATGGTAGATTACCTCGTCAAATAAGATTATTAAAAATACTGATTAATAAAAGCGTAAGAGTTTAACTTGGTTTTTGTGTTTTTCAAACCGGCATTTTTGACAATGCATGTTTTCTTTGGTGGAAACTGTTACGCTGCTTCTAAAATCAATCTTAACTATTTTTTAGCTTCTAGCAAGATGTTTCTTAGTTGGAAGAAGAAAGTGCAACTTTTGTTTTAGGAAAGAAAAGTTGAATGAGGGGCAGCGCCTGTATTTCTTGATGTTTTCTCGTCTCCGGCGTCAGTTAGAGATGAGTCGGATAGCAGCTTCCAAATTTGTGTAAGCTTTTTTCCTTCACAAAGCTCTTTAATTTGCCTATTATTCTTCATTCGGTGGAAGATCAGTTTCTTGATTTGTTTTTTTATTCATTCATTTCTTAATCCTCTAATCTTTTGATCTAGTTTTCTACTTTTATACAATAGTTGACACTTTAGATCTTACGAAGCGTCAGAATTGGTTAATATGGTAATTTTAAAAAAGAATTCAGTGGAGAAGATGAAGGAAGCATGCGAGTTCGAATGGCTTACAAAAAATGATTTTTTACCTTCAGAAACACGACTGCGTTATGGTTGGTTTATTTCTAATATGCGGAATAGTTGTGCTGATTTAGTGGAATCTGCTGTACCACTGATCATTTCTCACGCTCGGGCACTGATTGCAAAGAAGGCGTATCAGGTAAGATCAAATGTATTGCGTAAGCGGTTCTTTTATAGCTGCTTTATTCGATCCGTTATTTGCTTTCAGCCAGCTCTACGATTAGTAGAGGATTTTCGTGAACGGTTTGGGGCAAAGTTATTGAACAACTATGAGTGCGATCTTGAGCGAGCTCGGATCCTTGAGGCATGTCATGAAAGCGAAGCTGCAAGGAGTGTATTAACTCGCATTTTGGACGACCAGTTGTTACTTGGTAGCGATAAACGAAACATCAACCTATACTTAGACGTCTATTCTATGCTTGCTGACTTTGAGATGGGAGCTTGTCGTCCTGATTTAGCTGTGAAGCATCTCCAGGAGGTTGACTTTTTGAAATTGAGCAGCTCTTATTTGAGGAAATCTGTATTTTTTTTGCTTTAATTGATTGCCAAACTGGTCTCTTTAACGCTTTCTTTCTCTCACTGGTTTCTGGCCCTAATTTTTTTATTTTATCAAATTCTTTAATACTACTGAAAATTTTTTCTTAATTGCTAACTTTAACCTTTTGGTACTCCTTTTTCTTACTACTTGGGGAAATCTTTCACAGGGAAGAGAGTATTATATATTACAGCAAATAATCTTACAAAATAATTTTGTTTTAGGCGGTTGACTTTACACGTTCTAATGCAGGTACTGCGCAGAATGCATTGCTCGGAAGTGTTTATCGGAAATTAGCATTGTATGCTGAAAAACAGTACTTAATACTTGAGGAGTATAAGTCTACAAATGCATACAAAACAAAAGTTAATGCTATCAAAGAATGGCAGTTAGAACTGGAGAGAATCGAAGAAAAAAGGTTTTTGTTTTAAAGTTTGTAGATTTATTTGTTACTTGAGTGTTATCACAGGGATTTCACATTTTTCTTGCAGGCAAAATTCGAGTCCTATTCCTAGGAGTAAATCGCTAGAGGAAAAACGCATAAAATTGGAAAAACTTTCAGAAGAAAAAGATTTGAAACAGTTTAACCTTGATTATTTGCGCCAGGTTAAGTTTTAACAGGTTCTGCTTATGACTCGTGAGACGTGTATTTTTTTCTTTCTGTCTTGCTATCCTACGCTGTTTTGGCAAACTGAAGCTTTAATTCAGGTTTCTCTTGCTCTAAAGTCATATTTGGCTTGTCTCGAAATCGGTGTTTTCTTTGATGATGTGCCATACAGAATCCTTCCGATACTTGTAAACCTAAAGCACGACACGTCTGTAATTCGAATATTCAAAGTATTTGTTCTTGAATAGGCTGATCTTTTATATAAGCACTAAAGGAGTTAAAGTTATAAATAATCTCATAATTGACTTTATTACTTCATTTAGTTGAAGTTTTGTTCATAATTATAGGAAAATCTTTGCCGTATAGATCCTCGCCATTGGGTGCCGCTAACAAATCATCTTTGTTCTCATCTCTTCGACGATTCTCCTTTGGCAGCTGCTGTATACGACGTTAGTTTTTACTAATTCAAAACTTTAATGTAATCTATTCCAATTTCTTTTCTTGCTACAGATCCTAGTGGTTACGCTCTCCGAATACCCTTTTCATACTCTGAATAGTCTCTTGTTCTACGTATCAGAAGGTCCAACTGCAAAGCCAGATGCGCTAGTTAGTTCTTTTATACATATTTTGAAACTACACATAGCCAGTGCAAAAACATTTCAAAGTAGATTTCAACTTCAATTTAGGCCCGAAAGAATAAAGTGGAGTGTTTGGTCAAGGATGTTTGCAGTAAAAAAGAAGGTCTTTCCAGCCTAATTATGCTATATAAGCAAGCCTTTAGCATTTATTGTGAATTTGTGGCAGCAGAACCTGTACGCACATCTGCAAAAAGTATGTTCCGTTTAGCCTTTCTCTTTCTTTCAAATCTGAAACCGAAAAGTGAGATGCAAAAGTTTGATCCAGCTCTAATTCTGCCTGTTGAGTTTTTTGTTTTTCAATTTTTTCGATTAAGGAAGAAGATATCAAATGAATGGCGATTCTGTTTTAATGAAAGAGCTAAAGTTGCTGCAAAAAGTACCAATTCCAGCCATTTCACAGCCGGTAAATTGACCTTTAATGATTGTTTTGCTATTTCACAAAGTAGCCTTTACGAGTCTGTAACTGTTTTTGAGGTTTATAAGCCTGAAAGTTTTGTTCTCTGAAGAAGAAGTGCTAAGATTTGCTTTGTTGAGTGTTGCTTTTTTAGCTTACTCAGTGTTTTGAAGAAATGGTTACTTTCAATGATATTGAACAAGAAATTGTGATAGCAGACGGTCTCTCAAAACCATACGTTTTAACAGTTGTTGGCAGTGATGGAGTTAAGCGTAAACTTATTTTTAAGGTAATTTTTGTCGTTTTTACTTTTCTTTAAATTTTTAAGTCTTTTCTGCTGTCTTTTAAGGGTTTTTATAAAACTGCTTCTAGAAGGAGGATTTGAGGGACGATTGTCTGGTTGAGCAGTTGTTTTCGGTAGTCAATATTCTTCTAAAAGAAAAAAGCAAAGAAGTATTTCTTCGTACCTATCATGTGCTTCCGCTGAACCAATCAGCTGGTATCATAGAGTGGTGTTTGGGAACTATGAGTCTGTGTAAGTTTTCTCAGATCTTGCCAGTTCTGGTTTTTTGATCGTGGTTTCGTTCTCGACGCTCGTTTTATGCTGACATAGACCAGCGTTTCTTCTGTTTTTCCGACTTGTCATTTATTAGAAAAAAATTCTTGATACGACTTTCCTTTGAGCTGCTATCTTTTTTCCACTTCCATTAACCCTTAATTTTTATATATTCGGTCTGCAGCTGTACCTTACAGTTTCTCCAAAAACGGTTAAAACTGTCGTGAGGTTGTTTAACCTTATGGAATGAATGTGTTGCCTGCATTAGTTTCTCTTTTTGGTTTGAAAACTGTTCTATTCAATGACTGTCAGGACTTAAAGTTGTTTGCAAAATTTCGGACTTTATCTGAATACTTTGCCACCTACCAGTTGCTCCCGAAACTATCGCTTTGAAGAAATCCTTCATCACACGTAGGAAAAAGGAAAACGATATCACTGAGAAAAGTGGATATAAATTTTTTTTTTCATAAAGTTGCTTCCGATGAAAAGTTGTGCATCATATAAATTGCTCCTTAACTTGCAGTGTATTAATTGATGCAGGTGAATATCTCTGTGGGTTGAACAGAAGGAGCGGTGCACATTTGAAGTATTATCCAGACGACCTTACAGCAGTTGTTGCGCGAAATGAACTGTCTAAAGTATTTTATTAAACAGTTTTTTTAGTATGGACTGAACTGCTGGTTGAAAAATGTGATAATTTTTTCAATAATACGACAAAATTGTAGCCTGATATTACCACTGGTTTTGTCTGCTTCTTGGATTATTTACAGGCGCGTGAAAACAATGGTGACCTTCGACAGGAGTTTGAGGCCATTTGTCGACAAATCCATCCTGTTTTTCGCCATTTCTTTTACGAACGGTTTTTTGACCCTTTGGAGTGGCACAACAGAATAAGAAATTATTCTATTTCGTTGGCACAGTGGTCTATCGGTAAAGCTGTAGTCATTTTCAATATTTTTCACCTCATTTTTTGTGGCGTTTAAAGTTCCTGGTTGGATTAAATTTTAGTGGGTTACGTGGTTGGGCTTGGAGACAGACATCTTAACAACATATTAATTGATCTTACAACAGCTCAGTTGGTGCATATTGATCTCGGTAGTTTTTCCATCTCAAGTTTCAATTTTTGCCTTCAAAATTTTAGATTTGTAGCAGAATATTATTTTATTTAGGAATAATTTGTTGAAGGGATGGTTTTTGAATACGGCAAACGGAATCTACCAATTCCTGAACGCGTCCCATTCCGTCTCACTCGAGATACTGTCGATCCTTTCCTTGCTGAAGGAGTAAATGGACACTTCAAAGCTAGTGCAGTGGATGTTATGGAACAGCTCCGCAATAATTCGCAGGTTTTTAAAGTTGTTAGAAGTTATTGCCATAGAAGGACGATGGTTATGAAAAATTGTTATTTCTCTCTAATTGGGACTTGTTTTCTTGCTGAACTACTGTTCCGCTGTTTTTGGACATGAAATTAGGAGCGAGGAGAAGGCGGGGGAGAAAAACGACAAATCTTTCTTTTTTTCATGACCGTTGGTTGTTAAATACCAGCGACAAGCTCGGTGACTTTTAGTGCAAATTTAGCATAAGGTTTTTAGAATTATTTTTGCCTAAAAGTTATCATTCCTGTTTAAGGTGGTATAATTTAATTTTCAACTGGATTAAAAACTTTGAATAATCCTGCCTATCAACACTTGTTGACAAATCAGTTTTTACGAACTGTTGTGCTTTTACTGTAGTGGTCTCTCTAGGCTTTAATCGGAGTGGCATTGGTGTTGCTGAACGACCCTATATGCACCTTTTTTGATAGTCAAAAGGGCAGTAAGTTCTCATCTCTCGCTATTTGCCGTCTGCGTGATAAACTTGCTGGTATTGAAAACCGAGTGTTCATGACTGCTGAGCAACAGGTAAAACAGATTTCTGAAGCTGATTGATTGAGTTATTATCCTTGAATCCCAAACTAAAGTAATCTGGTAAGAATTGGTCTTGATAATTAAAATACGAAACATGCTAGAATTAGA